GTGCTGGATTCTGTCTAGCACTCTGACCTCAGACTCAGCCCTTGAGGCATTCTAGTCTGGCTGAAAAGGCCATGAGAGCATTTCAGGCATGGAAATTTAAGACACTGTGGCAAAAATAAATGTTCTACATGAAGGATCTCTGTGAGTCAGACCCCAGTAGAAAGAAGAGGCCAGACCAGCTCTCTGCTGTGGCCAGGGAGTGCAGTGGAGGATGGTCCAAGTGCTTGGGCCCTGCACCCCATGGGAGACCAGGATAAGTACCTGGCTCCTGCCATCAGATCAGTGCGGTGCGCCGGCCGCAGCGTGCCGGCTGCGGCGGTCATTGGAGGGTGAACCAACGGCAAAGGAAGACCTTTCTCTCTGTCTCCCTCTTTCACTGTCCACTCTGCCTGTCAAAAAAAAAAAAAAAAGTTATTTGCACTCCCATGTTCATTACAGCTCAATTCACAATATCTAAAACATGGAATCAACCTAAATGCTCATCAACTGAAGACTGGATAAAGAAATTATGAGATATGTACTCTGTAAGACATGGCAGTAAAGAAAATGAAATTTGTCATTTGCAACAAAATGGATGATCTGGAAAACATCATACTTAGTGAAATAAACCAGTTCCAAAGGGACAAAAACCGTATGTTCTCCATGATCTATGGTAACTAGCACAGCATCTAAAAGGAAACCTGTAAAAGAAATGAAATTGACACTTTGAGAAGCAACGACTTGAACAGCCCTTGTCTCGACTATTGAGGAACAGGTTTTTTTTTTTCTTCTTAATACCATTGGTTGAACTCTTAACATAGAATTAATCATATGTGTGTAAAGTCAATTGAAAATAGATCCTAGTCAAAAATGATGGTGTGAATAAGAGAGGGAGGAGGAAATTTATAACTGTAAAGCTGTATAGTTCTGCATACATTCCTATGGACTTAATTCTAAGAATACAGCTAAAAACTTGCCATGAGACTCCAAATCCCATTAAGCTGGGTGGTAAAAATGCTACCTTAAAAAAGTGATCATATTAAGTATTAAATTGCTCATATAGATAGGATTAAGTAAAAAAGGGATCATATAAATTAGATCAAGTGTCTGGTAATAACAATAGATAGAATTAAAAAGGAGAGAATGTTCCAACACAGGAAACAGTCCACACAGCAGACTCAGAATGACAATTACTCTAAATAGCACTCTGACCTCAGACTCAGCCCTTGAGGCATTCTAGTCTGGCTGAAAAGGCCATGAGAGCATTTCAGGCATGGAAATTTAAGACACTGTGGCAAAAATAAATGTTCTACATGAAGGATCTCTGTGAGTCAGACCCCAGTAGAAAGAAGAGGCCATCAAAGGATGTACTTTTCTCTGAAGGGAGGAAAGAACTTCCACTTTGCTTATGGCCTTGTCTAAATACTGACAGAGTTTGTGGACTCAAAAGGCTTCTATAGCCTTGGCAGCTCATGTCAAGAGTCTTAGAAGATCACTGACATCAAACATAAGAATGTTAATTGTTGAATTAACAGCAAGAGTCACTGTACTTACTCCCTGTGCCAAACCTCTGTCCTCAATGAGTTGTACTATGAGAATTAACTGTAAAACTTGTTCTCAAATGGTTTTTTATATTTTGTTTGTGTGTGTATATGTGAAAATTGTTGAAATCTTAGTATAGAGTTGGTCTTCTGTGTGTAAAGTTAATTTAAAATGAATCTTAATGGAGAATGGGACTGGGATAAAGAGAAGGAGGAGGTGGGTGGGAGTGCAGGTGGGAGGGTGGGTATTGTGGAAGGAATCACTATATTCCTAAAGTTGTACTTATGAAACTTGTACTCATTAAATAAAAGGTTTCTTTGGAAAAAAAGAATATGTAGAAATGACCAATAAACACATGAGAAGATGATAAACACTATTATTCATTAGAAAATTGCAAATATAGCCCACAATATACCACTTTACATCCTTAAAGTGGCAATAATAAAAAAGATAATAACAAGTATTTGTGAGGATGCAGAGAAATTGGAACCTTGGTGGCATCCTAAAATGGTGCAGCTCAGCCCCTTTGGAATAGTTTGGCAGTTCCTCAAAAAGTTAAGCATATAGTTAAAATATGACCCCACCCCAAATTCCACTCCAACATAAATAACCTATGAAAACTGAAAACATTTCCACACCAAAGCTTGTGCATAGATGTTCACAGTAGCATTATTTATAATTGAAAAAACAGTTCAACAGCCCAAATGTCTATCAACTACTGAATGGATAAACACTATGTGATGTTTTCTACAATGGAATAATACTCAACCATAAAAGGAGTGAGGTACCAGTGGATGAACCTTGAAAACATTATGCTAAGTGATAAAAGCCAACCATAAAAGGTGACATGTTATATGATTCCATTTACATGAGAAATTCAGAATAGGCAAATCCACAGAGATAGTGAGTATCTTGTTCATGACTGTCAGAGGCTGGTAGGACAAGGGAATAAAGGGTGACTGTTGATGAGGATAGAGTTTCTTTGGGGGCAGTGAAAATGTTTCGGAATTAGACACTATCAATAGATAGTTGTACAGATAGGGCTGTACAATTTTGTGAATACACTAAATGCCATTGAATTTTATGTTTTAAAAATGGATGAATAAAAAAAGTGATGACAAGAGAATGTGGAGTGTTAGTAACAAATGCAGCCACATATTGAGTCTAGTGTAAATAGAGTAGTGTTGAGTCTAGTATAAGAAGTGCAGGAGATGGAGCCATCAGCTATTAATAGTGAGTGAGCAGAATGTTGAGTCTAGCATAAGGAAAAGAAAGAAGAGTATTATGTTTGCTATTAAAGTCGAAGGAAGCAGAATGTACTGTCAAGTGTTAATAGTGAACTTGGTTTCAAGCACTTATATAGTGTATGCAGTAGATTTTTAGATCTAGTGTTATGATGTCAAGAATATATTGTTGAGGCTGGCGCCATGGCTCAGTAGGCTAATCCTCTGCCTTGCGGCGCCGGCACACCAGGTTCTGGTCCCGGTCGGGGCGCCAGATTCTGTCCCGGTTGCCCCTCTTCCAGGCCAGCTCTCTGCTGTGGCCAGGGAGTGCAGTGGAGGATGGCCCAAGTCCTTGGGCCCTGCACCCAATGGGAGACCAGGAGAAGCACCTGGCTCCTGCCTTCGGATCAGTGCGGTGCGCTGGCCGCAGCGTGCCAGCCGTGGCGGCCATTGGAGGGTGAACCAATGGCAAAGGAAGATCTTTCTCACTGTCTACTCTGCCTGGCAAAAAAAAAAAAAAAAAAAAAAAAAAAAAAAAACAAACAAAAAAACAAAACAAAACAAAAAACAGAATGATGTGAGCATTAGTGGTGAAAAGAACAGAATGTTGTACTTCTACTTAGGGTGAATGGAGAAGCCTTTAGTGTTTGGAATTCATAGTAAATGAAAAGCAGAACATCGTGCCTAGTGTTTAAAGTGAGTTAAGCAGAATGTGAGATCTAGTGTTAACAGTGAAAAGAACAGAACGTTACATTTATTGTAAGGGTGATTGGAGGAGGAACAGTGTCTGGTGTTGGTAATGAATCAGGTAGAATCCTTGTCTGGTGTCAGATGTGCATGGACCAGAGTATTGTGTATCTGACATTAACAGTGAGTGGAGCAGAATGCTGTGTCTACTGTTAGCAGTGAAGGAGGCAAAATATGGCTCAAGGGTTGACAGTGAATGCAGTGTTTGACATTAGAAATGTAAGGACCAGACTGAAGTGTGTCCGCACAAGGGACACGAGGCTGCCATCATAAGAAGGGCCTTCTTGCAAGCAGGGCCCTTGGCTGGCGTCTGGGAACTTGCATTTTGGCAGTGTTCCCAGTTTTCCTCACTGAGAAGGGAGGCTCACTGTGCCTAGACGGCTGGTGCAAACAATTTGCCTTATGATCCACACCTGCTTTCCTCTTGGGAATCTGGGAGTTTGGTACCTACTAGGCAGAGGGTGCCTATGTGATCAGCTCCCAGTTAAAACTTTGGGTTCTGAGTCTGCCATGAGCCTCTCTGGGCAGGAATATCACACACGTTTCAGTGGTTTTTTTGCTGGGATAGGAGTGGGTTCTGTGACACTGCTCATGGGAGGAAGAGATTCTTCCCGTCTCTGCCTGTTATCACAGTTTCATATCCTGAGTATGTCACTGTAGTAAATCTTAGCTGTGAGAACAACTGTATGCTGAGTTGGTTTCATCCATCAAGTCTCTGAATGTGGTGGTGTTCTTGTAGATCCCTAACATGAACAGTGGAATGGACACAGCTAAGTGTTTTCAGAGCACTTAGCTCTGAAAGCGAATGGAGGTGAGTGTGAAGTTGAGTGTTACCATGAGACCTAATAGTAAACCTTGTTTTCAAGAATCACTTCCTTTTAGTGTATTCTAAGGAGGATATTATGTCTTGTAAGTTACAGTCGTGTCTAAGAGCTCACAAAAGATGTATCATCCTTGGGTTCTTCTTTAAAGACAATTAAGTTTAAAAAAGTAAGGAAGGGAAAAGAAGAATGGGGAGAAAAAGCAAAAACACTTTTGAGAAGCAATAACAAAGAACAGCCCTTGTTTGGAATGTTGAGGAGAACAGTTCTCTTAGTTTTTTTACTCCATTTTTTTCTTCTTTCTGTTTCCTTTTCTTTCTTGGACCAAATGAGTGGAGGGTGGATGGGGCGGGGATGGTGGGAAGAATTACTGTTTCTAATGTTGTATTTATGAGATACATACAAATAAATAATTTTTTTATGAAAAAGGGTAAATTAAGCACACTATGTGACCAATATCGATTGGGAGTGAATGGATACAGTGTGGTGCCTGGTAACTTGCATAAAGTGGAATGTTGTGGCTAGTGGAAGGCTGGCTGATCAGAACACTGGATCCTGCCCAGTGTAGTAGATAAATACATTGTTACTGATCCTTTATGCCCTCCCTTCTACCGGGTTTCAGGCAGGGTGGGGGAGAAGAGTGCTCTCATCTGCTCAGGGGTTTTGTGCTTGGGCCAGTGGGACTTACCTTAGGCAGGGAAGCTCGGGAGCCAGAGCTCTGGGTGGTCATGGTGAGCACAGTGGTGATGCCCAGGCCAACCCGGGCTGGCGCAGCATCCATGTTGATCCAGAAGGAAATCCATGAGAGGATGACGATGAGCAGGCTGGGGATGTACATCTGGATCAAGTAGTAGCCCATCTGCCGCTCCAAGTGGAACCGGGCTTCAATGCAGGTGAATTTACCTGGAAGAGATAACAGTGTGAAGACCATGGTGCTTGGCGGATAGGAGGAGAGGCTTTAGGGTCAGGGCAGTGTAGGCTGGCTTTCCGGTTCAGCTTCACACTAACTGCGTCCTTAGGCAAGCATCTGGCCGCTCTGTATCTCAGTTTCCTCATCTATGGTAGTAAACTGGGGCTAATACAGTTGACCCTGCAGATCATGAGTTCTGCATCATGGAATCAACCAACCATTGATTGAAATTATTAAAAAAAAATTGGAGGCCAGTGTCAGGATTACCTGACTGAGGTGCCTGTATCCACTTTTGCTGTGCCTGGTTTCAGTCCTCAGCTCTCTAGCTTCCTGCTAATGTGGACCTTGGGAGGCAGTAGGTGATGACTCACACAGTGGGGTCTCTGCCACCCATGTGGGAGACCTGGATTGAATCCATGGCTCCTAGCTTTTCCCTTGCAACCCTGGCTATTGCAGGCATTAGGGAAGTGAGCCAACGGGTGGGAGCTGTCTATGTGTCTATTTGTCTCTCTCCTTCTCAAATACATAAGTAAATAAATACATTTTAAAAAGGAAAAAAAAAAGCTGTCTGAACTGAATATGTGCAGACTTTTTCCTTGTTATTATTCCCTAAACAATACAGTATGACAGTTATTTGCATAGCACTTATGTTGTATTTAAATACTATAAGCAATGCACAGTTGACTTCAAACATACAGGAAGGTGTGTGTAGGTCATATGCAAATATTTTACTACTTTATATAAGGGACTTAAGCATCCTCAGATTTTGCTATCCATAGCCTGTATGGAACTGATACCCTGAATATACCTAGAAATGACTGTGATAGTAATAATAATACCTCATTAATAATGGTAACATTACTCATATGGTTATCATGAGGCTAGAATAAGGTGTTGCTTATGAAGAATTTAGCACAGTCCTTGCACATAATAAATGCTCAGGATATTTCTGTTACCATTGCTGTCATCATCATCATCACCATTAAAGTCTTTCATCTGCCCTTCATAGCTGAGGGCTAACTTGTCTTTCTATCCTGCCTCCATCTCTCTTCTTCCTGAATTTTGCCCCCTGTACTCCATCCCCTGCCTCTGAGTGTGGTCTGCACTTCCACACTTCTGAGTGTTTGAACTTGCCAATGCTTTGCCTGGAATATCCTCATTCCTGCCACAACCAGGCAAGGAAGTCCTCCTCCTCCATGGCATTTTCTGTGCAAGGTCTGTCTCGGGTATAATGCTTCTTTTTTTCCCTGCATTGTCTCTGTTCTCTTCGCATGATCATCTGAGCCTTTAAGGCATGACACAGTGAGTGAATGGGCAGGCATCTCTTTCTTTCTCACTGTCTTGTGCATTAGTCTGAGCAGCTTGGTTGTCCCCACCCCATATCTGGAGCCTTGGGACCAGAACAGAGCAGAGCCATAGTGGGGTTTCAGTTTCTGTTCACAGAAGTACAGTAGATAGTGAATTTTTTGGAGTTCCTTGGATTGTAAACTCTCTGTAGGCAGGGCCTTATCAGTCTTTTCTTCTTGTATCCACAGGGCCTGGCACAGAGCCTGGCTCTCACTTAAGTATAAATGATTAGAAGCAAGATGGGACAATGATTGGGAAAAATCTGTGTCCATTTAGGCTGTCTCCATCATCTTGGCTGTTATGAAAAATGTTGCAATGAATGTGAGAGTGCAGATCTCTCTTTGAGATATCAATTTCACTGTCTTTGTATACACCCAGAATTGCTAGATCATAAGGTAGTTTTAAATGGATGAATGGACAAAGAAAATATTATTTAACCTTATAAAAGAAGGAAACTCTGCCATTGGTGACAAACATGGGCAAACCTGGAGGATACTGTTATACTAAGTGGAATAAGCCAAACCCAGAAAGACAAATACTGCATAATCTCACTTCTTTGTAGAATCTAAGAGTTAAACTCATAAGAAAAATGAGAAAGAAAAGAGAATGGTGGTTGCCAGGGGCTTGTGTTGGGGGACATGGAGAAAATGGGGGGATGTTAGTCAAGGGGACAAAGCTGGATTATGCAAGATGTGTAAGTTCTGGAGACCTATGGCAAAGCACGGTGCCTGTGGTTAAAAGTGCTACGCCACTGCATTTTACCTGTGATTTCCTTAGAGGGTAGATCCTAAGTGTTCTCACACACACAATGGCAAGTGTGTGAAGTGATGGGTATGGTAATTGTTTGATTGTGGTGATTATTTTTGTTAGTTCTACTTTAACAAAGCTGAAAGATCAGCCAGTCTTTGTGTATCCAGTCTTCTAACAAAGGCTGTGCGAGGCATGGAAGATAGAGCTGAGCTTAGCATTGGTTCCTCTGCCCTTTTGTAGCTCACAAGACAGTTGGCCCTGTCTGTTTTCTAATCTTCAGTGCCCCCTCCCTGCGCTCTGCCTCTTGCTGTAGACTAATGTAAGCCTTCTCTGTTTGCTCTGCCAGTTCCTTTGTGACAGTGACTGGTGGGTATCATCCCACTATCAGCTTTCCCCCATCTGCCTTGGGAATAGGATCCATTCTGGTACTTCAAGTAAAGACTCTATTATTCACCAGCTCGTCGTCTCATTAGGAATAGCTTAAGCTTGTATCACTCATCCCAGGACTCAGGAAGAAAATGTCAGAGTCACTTTTTGGTTTCCAATCTATTCTCTTAACCACTAGGTAATAAATACAGAGCTGGACTCATCGTGGAAACCTCACAAGAGCTGTTGAACTAGTGACTGAACGAGTGAGTACAATGACTTCTGCTCCTGGATTGGGTGGGGGCTGAAAGGGTGGCTCCTTCAACCTACCTGTGTTGTAATGCTTGGTGCAGTATCTCAAGTCCTTCTCCTCCTTCAGGATAAACTGTGGTAGAGTTAGCCCATCCGCCACCTGCACTGCTCCCTGCTCCTGCCACTCAAAGATGAGGTCATTCATGGTATATCCAACTGCGATGGGATCAGAAGAAGGAGCAGGATTGTTAAGGTTAAGGACTGAGATAGTGATCAGACACTTGATGGGACTCATGAGACCATGTCACTTCCCTCCCCCTCCCCGCCCCGCCTTAGCCTCTCCTGTTGCTCCAGTCCTCAATGCCAAGGTGAAATGCAGTAGACATCTGCTGTTTTTGTCTGCACATCCTGCCTTCCAGTATCATCTTTTGCTTACAGCAGGTTTCCCTCTGGTAAACACACTATTGCATGAGATCACGTGTGAATCGCCACTGGTAGGTGGGCGAGGTGTGAAAGGATGACCTCAGCTAGGCCATTCAGACTCGCTGCCCTGGGACTTTGACTCCAGAGCCAAGTAGCAAAGGGTTCAAGAAAGCGGTCCATTAGCTGCTGCCACCTAAATGTCCTGGCTCCTGTACTTTGAAGTTAATCAGATTGGCACCTGTGTTTGCAATGAAAGCAGGCAGCTATTCCATCTGTTCCAGCCTTGGCTCTCTGTAGAGCCTACTCCAGTACCCTCCTCCTTCCCCCATCAGAAGGACACCTCCTACTTGAGGCTGCAGCATTTTTACTTCTGACAACAGACTTACGACTTATCGCCCTTTGTTAGAATTATTGCTGCAGTCAGTTGTCTATCCACTGCTGAGCGAGCCTCCCTGTGAGTTCAGGCTATTTCTCCTCCATTCCTGGTGATCACAGTCATAAGGACCATGGAACAATGCCTCTTTGGAGAATGCTGCTGGCTCCAACGCTTGAGCCTCAGCCAGGCAATGTAAGGGGAGCTATATTGCTAATGCATTTTCTAAAAGCAAAGCCTTGCATTTAGTATTTGGGGTGATTACAGTAATCTCCTGGATCGCTCTCAGCAATTCGGGAATCTCTGCCAGTCCTGTGGGTAAATGGGAGCTCGGTTCTCTCTAGAGGGTTCAAGCAAGGGACTCACAGCTTTCCAGTTGCATGATACAGGTCTGGACATCCATGGGGAAATTCTTCAGGTCCATCGGGCAGGCCAATGTCAGGGTGATTCTGGGAAGAGAAGGGAGTTACATGATTCTGGATCTACAAGTGAGAAAGGCTGTGCCTCCGTTGTGGTTACTCTCAGAAAAGCAGTTGTCCAGGATAGAGGAAAGGTGAAGTGTTTACTGAATGCACAGATGAAAGTTTCCAAGTCACTGATAGGGAAGTGGAAGCTCAGAGAGGTAAAGCAGAGCGTCTCAAGCCACACAGATCTAGTGGACTTCTGGGTTCCTTCACAGATTCCCTGGTCCCCAAAAACCTGTCTTTAGCAAGTTGCCTGGAGGCTGGCGCCTGCCCCCCTTCCCGACTCTTCTGCAGAGCCCTCAGGTGGGGACAGAACCCAAATGTTAAAGTGAGCAGGATCAGGCCTCAGGCTTCCCCAGGTGCACCTGCAGCTTGGCTGCCTCCCTTCACACCCGGGACTCATCAAAAGATAACTTCAAAGAGGCCCCATGCCTTCTGGGTATGCAAACACAGCTGAGTCACATTAGTGGGCTCGAGCTGGAGTCGGTCAGAAAGTACTGGGCTCCCTGGGATCCTGGATGGTCATTTATGTTGGGCTGTTCAATGCTTGCAGAGGCCACAGCCCCAGAACCAAAGGGAAGTCCCTTCAACAGAATCCGAGGCCTGCAGCTCAGGCTGGGTTACAGGCTTCAACTTGAAAGACTCTGCCAACGTTACAGCACCTGCTGCAGGTTATGGAGGAAAAAGGCTCTGGGAGGCCAGAGAGCCTTAGATTCTCAGGATGACTCCTTCATCTGACAGGTAAGGAAACTGCCTACAGAGAGGGAGAGGGGGACACTTGCCTAAGATCACACCGTGAGCTGATGGCTCAGCTGGCATTCAAAACCGTGTCTCCTGGCCTTTAGGTTCTGGGGCCTGGTGGGGTTGGCTCCCATTTGCTGGGGGTCTTTCTAGCACTGCTATCCTGGAAAGTCAGCCCCAGTATGCCACGTTACCTAATTCGGGGTGCTGTAGTGGAACCCAGCAGCAGGCACATAGTGAGACACAGACCTCTGAGAACTTCCTCCCCAGACTTCTGAACGTGGGCTTTTTTTTTTTTTTTTTTTTTTTTTTTTGACAGGCAGAGTGGACAGTGAGAGAGAGAGAGAAAGGTCTTCCTTTTTGCCGTTGGTTCACCCTCCAATGGCCGCAGCGCCGCGCTGATCCAATGGCAGGAGCTAGGTACTTCTCCTGGTCTCCCATGGGGTGCAGGGCCCAAGTACTTGGGCCATCCTCCACTGCCTTCCCGGGCCACAGCAGAGAGCTGGCCTGGAAGAGGGGCAACCGGGACAGAATCTGGCGCCCCGACAGGGACTAGAACCTGGTGTGCCAGCGCTGCAAGGCGGAGGATTAGCCTAGTGAGCCGAGGTGACGGCCATGAACATGGGCTTCTTTAAGCACAGGGTTGAAGCAAGGGGTGGGGGGCAGTGGGGGAGAAGGGAGGGAAAGAGAAGGGAGAGGGAGGGGCCAAGGAAGGGGAAAGTGAGTGGAGAGTGACTGCAGCTGAATTTCTGGAGATAAAAGCTCCAAAGTGGGGCAGCTGTCACACTGGGTTAATTTCCTGAAGTTGAATGACCTTGGGAACATCACTTTCTGCTGATTTGTTCCTCTGTCATGCTGCACTGGGACTCGGCTTCCTGAGATTTGGAAACAGCCTAGCAGCAACAAAATCCAGGCAGGGTAGCCTCCCCCCATCCCCATGGCCCAGGTGGCCCTTTTCTAAAACTTCCAATCTGTGTATGGATTGAGTGGAGCAGGCTCCAGAGTGAGGAAAGCCACAGCAGCCTGTGGTTCCTGCTTGGCTGCCCTTCAGTGGAGAGGCTCCTAGGCTCCCTCCCTGACTTAGCTACACCAGAGGGTTCAGGTGTGTGAGGTCCGTCACACCTGAGGCCTAGAACCTGTACTGCCTCTCCCAGGGGCCTGGACATTTCAGGCTGGTCCCCTATTGTAAGATTTCTTGCCTCAAGAAATTGGAGGGGGGAGTCATCAAGCATCATTGCCCTTTTAAGATATTTGAAATGAAACTATACTTATTCATCAAATATTGAGTACCTATTGAGTTGGTGCACTGTTTAGGCTTTGAGAAGGCATCCAATCCACACTAATACAGCCTGGAATCTAGGCTTGGCCATTACCTCTGGGAACTTTGACATGTTAGTAAATTTTCAGTTCCTCACTTGTCTAATCTCTAAAATGGGCTGAATTAAACCCACTTAATAGGGATGTGAAGGAGCATTAGATAAGATAGACAAAGAGTTGCCAGCATCAGAGCAAATTTTCAATGAAAGACGGCTGTTACCATTGCATGTGTAAGGTCATTTCCTCACCTCTTGGACACCAGTCTTTTTTCCCTACATGGGGAGATGAGGGATGCGGTGGGAAGAGTGGCGGGAGACTCTGAAAACTTTGTTGCTGGCCAATATCTGCAGGATATCCTGCAGCTGGGGAAAGGGGTCTGACCTCTTAGGCTGAATGCAAGGTGAGTGAGCTAGAAAGGATTTACGTAAAGGATGGTGCTGTCTCATATGAAGGGATGGTTCTTACACCTGTGAGTAGCATTGTCCACAGTGGCTGTGGTTTCCCAGGCATTGTGTCTCTGCTTGTGTTACTGATGATCATATCGGAGTATTTTTTTTTTTTTTTGATGAGAGAAGCTGTTTATTTTCAAGGTGTTATCTTGATATCCTTCTTTATAATGTATATTTCATGTCCAGTTTTTTTCTAAACAAAATGCAGTTTATCTTGGAGTCTATAAAAAACACATTGGCATACTATTTTAAAATCTACACAAGAAACTCCAGGGAAACTGGAGTTCAAGTGACAATAAAATGCATGGATATAATCATTTGTAAAGCTTTCAAAATAAAAATGCAAAGTGGTAGCTACACACTTCAGAGCAATTAACTTAGAGGAAATTCCATTGCTGGACCCTCTTTAGCAACATGTAGTCATTGAATGCCAAATATTAATAGTGCAAAAATAATAGTTGTAGATATATTAAATAACTACATCCATGTTGATTGGAGTTACTAGCAACAGTAAAGAAGATAACTCTAGGGAAAGATAACAGTATCTAGAACAATAGAAACTGATTTTGTAACTATATCTCTTTCCTAGCTATTCTGTAGAACTGCTGGCTAACTAAAACTCCACCTTCTCTAAAATGCCTTCCTCCCTGCGAGGACTTCCCCTGGTATTCTATTCTGTTCTTGCTGAGTGAACGTTCTAGAGCCGTTTCTGCCAAGTCAGCAAAGATGTTGGCCTGTTGGAGCCTGTTCACTTCTGTTTGGCTCCCTCTCATAGTGTCTGCTCCCAGAAGGTCATGGGGCAAGTCACGTTCGGGGTGGTGGTGGGGGAGTGGAGGAGCCTGCACAGAACTCACCGGATGCTGTAGAGGACGTTGCCGTTGCGTGAGATCCTCAGCAGTTTGTTGTCTGTGGTGATCTCGTGGAAGTGGGCCCCCTTCTCGTTGGCAAAGAACAGGTCAGGCTTCCAGATGGAATCCAACATGGATGGGTCCAGGTCCAGAGAGTCATCGGGGTATTCGTTGTAGGCCAGACGGGGGTCGTTCCACTGCTGCCGTAGGAAGATGTTGACTCTGTAGTCCTATAGGCGGGAGACAAGAGGTCGAGGCTGGATCAGTTCCTGGGATGCCAGGGTCCCCCAAGCCTCTTTCTGGGGGATGGCATTGGACTGAGGTTGCATCTTGTGTGGGAATGAGGCATAAAGGCTGTCATCAGGCAAAAGCCACAGGACTCATAAATATCCCTGAAAATCCTCTAAACGCCCTGTTAAGCATACTCAACTCTGAACTGATACAATTTCAATGTTATTCTTTTGAAAAAAGTTTAGAAGTTTAAAGAATAATGCAGTAAACCCCTGTTTTTTTTTTATCATCCTGCTAGTGTTTTATCATACATGCTTCATTTTTTTTTTATAAAAGAGAAATGATACATTACAGATAAAGCTAAAGTTCTTTGACTGTCAGACCCAAGAGTAGTGTAATTCTCACATACACTCAGGCTGGAGAGATGGAAGGAATTAAAGACCAGAAGCTGATGTCTGAGAGCATTCAAACTACTGTGCCTAAAGAAATAAGTAATTCCCAGACAATACGGGAAGGGTGGGTGGTCCTAGGGTTCACCTCACTCTATTTTAACATCAGCTTCCCAGGCTGATTTGTTTGGAAAGATTTAATCAGTGTCAGAGTCTCACATCTTACTGGTTTCTAAACTCATCCCCAAGTTACTGCTTCTCTGATGGGATTTGTATTGTAGTTATATCAATGGAAAAACATTCACAAATTAAGTCAGTGAAATGTTGGACTAAAGTACAAGAGGATTGCAGGACTTCCTGGAGTTGGTCAGATTCTGATGAATCCCGTGCGTTTCCAAGGAGACACAATGTGGCACGTTTCTCTGGGTTATTTTGCCCAAGGAGCTCTTATGCATGATGTGTCTTCTGCAGAGCGTGGGCTAGGAATTGCCATCCTAGGCAAAACTCGGCTCTCAACTTCCGTTTTTTTTTTTCCTTCCTTCCACTGACGAGACTGACACAGTGTCTCTCAGAAAGTGCAGGGGCAGAGCTGGTTCTGGAGTCCAAGGATCCTGATGGGTAACTGCGGGTTTCTTCACTGCCCCCTGCTGATCCCAGAGGATCTGAACGGTCCATTACAATGTGAGAAGCACTTAGTGTGTGCACAGGACTCCATGCCTGAAAACTGGCTAGAGCACTTAAGAAATATTCCCCCTGGGGCTGACATTGTGGCGCAGTGGGTTGAGTTCCTGCTTGCAATGCCGGCACCCCATGTTGGAGCACCAGTTCAGGTCCTCACTTTTCTACTTCTGATCCAACTCTCTGTTAATGTGTGTGGGAATGCAATAGAAGATGGCCCGTTCTTGTGCTCCAACCGCCCAGGTCGGAGACCCAGATGGAGTTCCTGGCTTTTGGCTTCAGCCTGGCCTTGGCCTGGCTATTGTGGTTATTTGAGGAGCAAACCAGTGCATGGAAATCTCTGTTTGTCTCTCTCTCTAGGTTGCTCAAATAACTTCTTAAAAATAAATATTAAAAAAATTTCCATTAAGAAGTTTTTAAAAATTGCATTAGTCATTGTAAACCGTGAATATCATGACACTATAAAGTAGAATTTGGTGAATACTTGTGTTTCCCAAAGAAGAACATATTGAATTTCTAAAAGTGTCTATAGTGTCTATAGTCCCCCCCCCAAAAAAAAAAAATTAATAGCCTCAGTTCTAGTCCCATATCAAATGCCCTCCTTCAAGGCGTGGTCTTAGACATGAAGACCAGTGACTGCCTTTCCCCATAGTGTGCTGTCTCCATGAGGGTGGCTATATTTTCTTTTGGAGGTGCTGCTCATGAGTGCTGATCTACCATCAGCACAGGTGAACTCAAGCCACCTTCCTGCCCCTCCCACTTCACCCCTGTCTGGCTCATGGTTACATCACTTTGTTTGCATGCAGAAATATCAATAACTTCAAAAAGACTTCCAAGGTATTTTATAGGATTGTTCTGTAATTTAGTTGAAGTCTTTCCCTCTAGCACCATAGATAATGACATTTAGACTCATAATCTCATGTCTTGTACGAACTGTCGTGGAGGGAGAGCTTTAGGCCAAGCCTGGATGTTGGTTCTTTGTTTTTCCTGCTGCTGGTAATGGACAGCTCCCAGTCTGGCTCCATGCCAGGAGGGTGTTGCAAACAGCCTCGTTCTGTCTCTTGGATTCCACATGGGAAGTGAGTGTATGTGTTCTGGTGAGGCACTGGGTAAGTCACATTAGAGACAACAGACTATGAATGGGCAAAAAACAAAACAAAAAAAACCCAAAAAACAAAAAAAACACCTTCATTCCCCAAACCCCAGCTGTCCTTTTGATGTTCTTGCAATGACATGCCAAGCTCATTTATGTGGCTGGAAGGACGAAAAGAAAGTGGCATTTCTTAAAATGCTCTGTTAGGCACCAGGCTCTCCTAGATACTGTCACATATGCTTACTGCTCACAACCCCCCTGCAACTAGACAATGAGGTGCCCACAGTGAGGATAAGGAAATTGGTTTTTGAAGTTTGGGAAACTGAGGCTCGGAACTGGTTTGTGGAAGAGCTGGGACGGGGATTTGCAGGAGCCTGACCATTCCATGAGCACTGATGTGTGACTTCACGCGGGTGTGGATGGCCACTTGTAGGCAGGGACACTCTTGCATCCTCATTGTCCAGGCAGATTACATCCTGCAGGAGCTTGATGGCCCCCACCCCTGCTTTCCTGGCCTCGTCCTTTCTGATGTCCTAGCAAGATCAAGTCAACAGAAAAGTTTCATTGAGCTCTTCCTCATGGTGTGTGTCTCCCTCATGGTGTGTGTCTCATCTTCTTACCCCATGAGCAGCAATTTGAGGGGATGAACTCACCTTGTATTTCTTGTGCACCAGGTTACCTACCTACCAGTCAGTGCAACTATGAGCTACCCAGTACTCTCAGGAGAAGGAAGAAGGAGTAATGCTAGAAAAAGTTGGAACAGAACGAGATCTCCTCATTTTATAGATGGAGAGACTGAGACCCAGTGGGCAAAGCATTTTCTCAGGTCACACAATAGTTTGGTAAAGGACCTGGTGTTGGAACCTAGCTCCGCTTCTGTGGATCTCGCTGTTAAGCAAAGTTAAGCTAAATGGTCTCTAAGAACCCTTGAAAATCTAATAGCTAATTGTAATTAGCTTACTGTCTTTTCCAACAATATTTAACTGAGCACCTATTAACGGGCCAGGCAGTATTGCTGGTGCTGAGGAGTCTACTGAGAATGGGAGACACGTTGACTGAATCACAGAACTCGCAGAGCAGTGTCTACACCACTGAGAGGTCAAGGCTCTGTGAGGGGTTAGGTACATGTGCGGGGGAAGTGTGGAGTACAGGTTCCCCGTCTTGACGTGGGCAGTGGTGACCATGGAAGTAGCCAGGAAGAGGCAGGTGGGCAAATGAATTAACTGATTAAATCAGATTGTGGTTGAACCTGTGGAGAAGCACTTTGGGCAGGTGGGAGTGTGCATGTGAAGGCCTTGAGGCAAAGCACAAGCGTGGAACTTTGAATAGAAGGGCAAGTGAACAAGCAAGGACAGGAGTGGGAGAAGGCTCCCAGGGTCTGACAGGCCGTGCTGGGGAACTTGGACTTCATCCTGGGAGCAATGCAGAGCCTTTGAAGAATTTTAAATAGGAATAGACATTAAATATCAGTAATAAAATGCAAATGTAATAAAAAGTACTTTATTTTTTCTTACTGCAGAAGCAATGCCTATTGACTATAAAAATATAAATGTACAGCACTTAAAAGAAGAAGAAATAAAACCCTTGGGGTCTCATTATTAAATGATGAATGAAACATTGGAGTAAGGGAGACCTCGGTGTCCTGGGGCTGCTCGACTCCTTGCAGTGCCAGCCCCTCCCCCCAGCAGCTGCTACCCAAACAAGTTACAGCCATTGATTTTCCCCTCTCAAGTTAGTAAACAGCAGAGGGAAATGCAGTTGGGAAGAAATCAATGTAATTGGTGTAATAGGCTGAAAGCTAAGTGTTGTTTTGCTTACTTAGCTCTACACTTAGACTGGTCGGTGCTTGACACGAGGGGGCCCATGTTCCAGTTCAGGGACTGGAGGAGAAACATTTGAATTCTCCATCCTATAACTCAGGTTCGACCTCCAGTAGTTGGTTTGCAGGTCCCAAACTTGCAAGGGTAGCCTATGAACCTGAAGCAGGAGGGATTTCTGAGGTTCTAGCTATCTGATTTTCAGTATCAACCCATCCATATTGCCTCTGAGATTCCCTGAAGGTCTTATGTCTGGTAACTGGCTAGCTAGTTGCCTTGTTTCTAAGACCAAGATAGAACACAAACTCGTTCATTCCTCAAACATTTTCTTGAGGCTTTCCGTATACCACTTGGAGTTTGAATTGCCTTCCTTCCCCCACAGACTTGGTCTAATTTCAGATTCTAATTTCTCCTAAGAAACTCTGAACTAAGAAACATGAGATGTTGAGGGTGTTGCTGGGTAGGGGATGTGGAGGGCAAGAGATACGCTGATTGCATTCAGAACCAAAAGACATCAAAAGGTGGCCAAAAGAAGCAGATTCTTAAACATTAAAAAAAGAAAACCATTTCATTATTGTGAAAGGCAGAGAGAAACAAAACAGAGATAGGGAGATCTTGCATTCTCTGGTTAACTCTGTAAATGCCTGTAATAGGTAGGGTTGGGCCGAAGACGGGAGCCTAGAACTCAATCTGAGTCTGCCCCATGGGTTGCAGGGACACATGTACTTGAGCCATCACTTGCTGCCTCTTAAGGTGCACATTAGCAGGAAGCTAGAATCAAGAGAAGAGGCAGGATATGTAGCCCGGCACTCTGATATGGGATGCAGGTGTCCCAAGAGATGTCTTGAGTGCTAGCCAAACACCTGTGCAATCTTATACCTTTTTAAGTCTCAGCATTCTGGCCTTCAAGGGATGTCTCTTCTAGATGCAGTCCAGCTCTAAAAACATTTATTAGCCCAGGGGAGTCATGGCGAATGGAGACCCAAGGTCTTTGTTTCTGTCCTCACAGAGCTGAAATTATT